TACACTTCCATCAGACTTATCATCATCAAGATCTGCGGCAGAATAAATGGTAATCGAAGTCTCTAATTGTTCCTGCTGACATTGCCTTAGAGCCAGTCTGCGGACTGCACCGGCAACTCGTCTCGGTGCATCAGAATCCCATAGTAAATTGTTGTATAGATATGAATAGATCACGTAATAATCCTCAAATCGAATTAGTTCTCTAATTTTGGGTGTATTGTGATAATTTTTAAAAACAGGTTCTACAATTTGTTTATAGGCACCAGTAAATATGTAACTTATTGCACTTTCTGCAGATTCTAAATTATTAAACTGATGGAATACCTTTTGAGACAGAACGTCATCAATGAACATGTTATTTGTTACATTCCATTTGTTGTACTCTTCTGAAATATTTCGTTTAGCTGGTTCACTGATTGTTTCGTTTGAATTAATCCTTTGTTCTTCAATGACCTCATTCTTTGTCATATTAGAAGCAAAAGGGTCTAACGATAAAATGTTTTGATTACAAGATTCATTGTTGCTTTCGTCTGAATTGTTTTTCTTAATGTTGTCCTTGTCGAATTTCTTAGAAAGATTAGGAGCTGAAGATGAAATGTTTTGATTAGCGGGTTCACTGTGCTACTTTCCTTTGAATTATTCTTTTGTTTGTCGCTGTCGTACTCTTCTGAAATGTTTTGTTTAGCTGGTTCACTGATTGTTTCGTTTAAATCAATCCTTTGTTTTTCGATGACCTCATTCTTTGTGATATTAGAAGCAAAAGGATCTAACGATGAAATGTTTTGATTAGAAGAGTCATTGCTGCTTTCGTCTGAATTGTTCTTCTTAATGTTGTCATTGTCGATTTTATTAGAAAGATTAGGAGCTGAAGATGAAATGTTTTGTTTAGCTGGTTCACTGATTGTTTCGTTTAAATCAATCCTTTGTTTTTCGATTACCTCATTCTTTGTGATATTAGAAGCAAAAGGATCTAACGATGAAATGTTTTGATTAGAAGAGTCATTGCTGCTTTCGTCTGAATTGTTCTTCTTAATGTTGTCATTGTCGATTTTATTAGAAAGATTAGGAGCTGAAGATGAAATGTTTTGATTAGCGGGTTTACTGCTACTTTGCTTTGAATTATTCTTTCGTTTGTCGTTGTCGACACTTTCAGCCTTTTTGGAAACATTAGGGTCTAACGAAGAATTGCTTTGATTGTCAAGTACATTGATTGCATCTTTTAAACTAACCTTCTGATTGTCGCTGTTGTTGTTGTCAATTTTATCGGAACTATTAGAAATAAACGATGAATTGTCCAGAATAATTGGGACAGTGCTAATTTCCTTTGAATCAATCTTGTTTGTTCTGTTGTGCAACTCAGTTGCAGTTTGGTCTGCATAAAAATTAGATAGTTCTTTAAGCAATTGTACCTCTTCTTCAATATAAATCCAAAATAATGAAAGAGTATTATTGTCTTGCATTTTAAATTCTGTTTTAAATATTTCTCCTGTTTTGGGATTATACAATTTGTAAAATATATTATTATCCTTTGAATCAAATATGACGGGAACTTTGAATTTGATTCCTTCTACGGTTCTAAATTCAGCAATTCTTCCAAATGAAGATATACATAAAGGCCCGAAATAATTCGAACCTCCGGGATAAAGATATCTAAAGATCAATGCTGTTTGATTATGATTTAGTGCTGCATGCCTGTCTAATAAATGAATTTCAGATTTCATTATTGTTAAAAGAAGATTTTTTACATTAGGGTAGCTCGAAAATCTGAAACGTAATGCGTTTATTACTCCTGGAAGTACTTTACTAAAAGAGCCGATCATTTGGAATGATAGTTCAAATCCAGGATTTACTGCTTGTAAGTTGCTCATATCGACTTTAGTTTGTTTACCGTAATTAAAAAATAAATTATTAACTCTTCTGTAAATTTCATTCAATTCGATTCTTATGTTTGCATAATTAATATTTGTTTTGAGGATATTTTTAAAAGTCTGTTGTCCTATTTGAGTAATCATACTTCTCCACACATCAGACATATTTTTTGATGCATCTTGAGGTAATGGGAGAAGACTTTTGACCACTGGTTTACAAATTACTGCAGCTTTCGTTTTGTCATTGGAATTCATACCGTCAATACACGTATAGAAAGGAACAAAAGACATTACCTTGTCCAAAGTTTCTATTCCAGAATCACTATTGTAGTTATGTAATAAATCATTTTCAAGTTCAAGACTTAAATTGTGAGCTATATTTTTTATAAATTCATTCCGAGAAGAAAATGTTTGACTTCTAATTCCGTAATAGAATTGATTATTCATTGCAGCCTCAAAAATCTTTTCCCTCCTTATATTTAAATGTAAATTTAAAGTATTACTATTTTGCTCTAGGGCATGAGTATCTACTTTACCATTTTCAATTGTTGAAAAAATAATATATATTCCACCATATTTTCCAACTGTTCCAGGAATACATACTTTGCAATCTACTGATTGATAGAAAACATACAACAATTCCATAGTAGCATTTAATGTAAACTTTTGTACTACATTATCATCTAATAAAAGCTGCTCCAAGGAATTCTCTTCAATTTCTCTAAAAATCGCTAAAGCATTTTGATAATGATTTTTAAGAAAAATATCCAATTTAAAAACTTCAAGTTTATTCATTAATTTTTTCAATTTGTAATAGAGAATTTTGTTAAATTCCCTGTTAAGAATGTTATTTTTCGAAAAGTTAACGAAATAAAAAAATTTGGAATATATTTCGAACAAAATTTCATCATTTACACTTTTTTTGTAAATATCAGAAAATTTCTGCTTGTATTTAGAAGCGTAATAAAATAAAGCCGGTGTTGCAAATAATTCCATAGTTAATTGATACGTTTTATCAAAATTAATTTGTATATCTGTTAATTGAGCTAATAGAATATAATTCTCAAAAGTTAAATTTTTTGTATCACCTTGAATGGATCGAATAATTTTTAAACCAATCATTGCATATATGTAATTAATATCCATTATTTTCATATTTTGTTCCGGTTCTGGAAACATTGACCAAACATGTTCATTGAACACTTTTTTAATTGTCAAATTTGTGAGTTGATAATTAACGTGTGATGGTGAACAATAATCATTACTGATGTAGTTTTGCGATAGTTGATAAAATACGTTTTCCTTAAGTGCCGAATAGGTAATGTTATCTGCTTGATTAATTATGGAAGCCAAGTAACCGTCAATGTTTCCGTAGTGTGAGAACAAAGCACTACTAATGATGTACTGATATGTTTCATCAACATATTTCATGTCAAGTGTTTCATTTTCGCCTCCGCCGTAGAGATCACTTCCGTTTAATGCTTTTCGAATGAGTTGGAGTTTTGTCTCAGATTCATTCTCCGAATTATTAATGTATTCGAAAAGGGTGTTCAATACAGAAACAGAATCGTTTTGATTTTCCTGGGTAATTAAATCCAGATTGTAAAAGATTTTACCAAAACTGGTAATGTAGTGACAAACAGAGAGAAATTGGAAATTCATCATATGATGATTTGAATAAGATAAGCTTTCCATTATGACACAATTGTATTAATATTTTTTGCCCTCAGAATATTATGTCTCGGTGTATTGTTTTGAAACTTGTTAATCCTAGAAGTTGTCCAACTGAAAATATTAAATTTTTTATGTTTAATTTTACTCTTATTTAACATCCCAAATAGTATTTGAAAATTTCCATAAACTACCGACATTATGATTTTTCATTGAGATTCACACTACAATAGTTTTTATAAATTACAGCATCAATTTTTATAAGTAACTACATAATTTTCATAAATTATCAATAGAACTTCTTACATCAAAAACTAAACATATTTTTCGACCAACCATGGATTTTTATTTGTGAACCCTTTATCTTAAAAAAAATTATTAATAATGATCGTAACGGAAAAAATTTTTTTTTTAAATTTTTATAAACCAAATCCTTTACAACCAAATTTATTTTTTTTAATTTTACACACTTAGATATTAAAAAAATGTTATCAATCATTGTTTTTATTTAAGAATTTTACTAAAAATATTTATTTTTGTTTTATAACTGACCTTGGGGACAGGCTTCACCATGACAATTTGACTCCTAAATCTGCATTTAAAAAAATATTTAATTTTATAAATTAAAGTGGCTATATGATTTTTTTGTAATCACTAGAGTTACTTTTTCACGTTGAATTCATTACCATATGTGCAATCTGTTTCTTAAGAAACCCAAGGGACATGAAACTGTCGGTTTCGTGGAGAATCACCCAAATATATTATTCGTCTATTAAAATTTTTAAAAAATTTGAATAATTTTATTCAAAAATTAAAAATAAAATTGAAAGAATTGTCATATTTAGAAATAGTTACATATTTCAAAATGTTTTTCATTGAAATTAATTGAAGTTTTAATTCATGCGGAAAAATCAATAAGAATAAGTTTTTTAATATTTATTTAAGGACATTTGAACTATTTTGATGTTACAGTTTTAGAAAACATGCTTTGCACAAATTCTGATGTAATAATTGTTCAAATTGCCTTAAAAGTTATTTTTAAAAAAATTTAAATACAATTGTATTTTTAAACAATTATAACTAAAAATTAAAAAAATAATTATTATTAAAAATTTCAGTTGAAATTTTAGAAAATAATTGAATATTTGAAGCGTTATAATTGGAATTTTAAGAAATAATAATATTATTTCATCAGACATCAGATATATAAACAATTTTTTCTAAAATTAAATTATTTCTAATTCCTCAAAAATTCAATTTTCTGGAATTTTTAAGTTGTAAAATTCTTTGAATGAATTATTTTTTGGAATATATTCTGGAATATAACACTAGGGAATATAATATTTGGGTTAGTTCGACGTAACAATATATATTTTAAATAAGAAATATATTTAAGGAATATTTTTTATTATAAAAAAAAGGAAAATGGTAAAATATATTTTTTTTAAAAATGATCATTAATAAAATAGTATTTTTTTTATTACAAATTGTTTCTTAATTTACAATAGTTAAGAAAATCGGGGTTTTTATCTTTGAGTTTTGTTTCGTTCTTTCTTTTTTCGAACAAATTAAGAATAAAGTGAAAACTTGTTTATTGTCACTTTTTTAAAATTACGAAATCAATTTAGAATTATTTTACCAAACAATTTCCCACTTACCACTATTTACACAATTTTTTTCATTACCGCACAGTCGATTAAATGTCATATTAATTGGAAAACCAATTATTTCGCGCTCCTCCTGAATTCGAAACGAAAATGTCGACTCGTGCGTTCCGATGAAATATCTATGAATTCAATAATTTTCATTAGTTTTCACTTTTAATTTGTTTTAACAAATTTTTTTTTAAATTCTAGTTAATTAAAGTAAATTTAATTAAATAGTTATTTTAATTATTTAAAGTAAATACTTATTTTTATTAATTAAATTAAATAATAATTTAAAAAAAAACTAACAGGATTCAGAAAATGAAAAGAAACGAAATTTGGATTTTTAATAAAAATTATTTTGAAGAATATTATTAATTTAATTAAAATGTACCTGGCGTGGGAGCAAATAATTTGATCGATAATTGCGATTCCTCCGTCTTTGAATTTATTCCTCTCTCTCTCAGTGGGAATATATTTTACGACTTTAAAATCTTCGAGGTAGTATTCGAGTTTTTTGAATTCTGAAACAATCGTTAAATTTTGAGAAATTCATCTTTATTAGAATTAGAATTTATTCAAATTATATTTAATTCAAATGCACCACATAAAAAAAATGATTTACTTAAATCGACTTTATTCCAAATGAACTTATTTAAAAATGCACGAAATAAATAAATAGAAGAAATTTATTCGAATTGAATTTATTTCATTTATTTAAATTTATTTCGAAAAAATTGAATTAAAAATTTATTTTCATTAAGTTTATTTGGAAATATTTTCTTTTATTTTTCTTTTGAATTTGGAGAATCAAAATATAGAATTTCGAGAAAATTATAAAGAAACCATAATCGTCAGCGTCAGTTGCCACAAAAAGTGTCTCGATTTTTAATTCCCTCATTTTATCCTTTAGCTGAGAAGCTGCGCTTTTTATCGTAGGAATTGTCTCCGCTCTTCCTTGGAGAAAATCTTGTCTTCTCAAATGTACCGCTAAATATGGACCACCAACAGCATTTCTTTTGCCCTATAAAGAAATTTTCTTTCTACAGTTATTACAATTTCAAGTTTGCTTTCAAATTTAATTTTTAATTTCTAGATAATTATAAGTAGGTAATTAAATAAAAAAAAAACTTTCGGTACTTTTTCCTCTTGCCAATTTTCAGGCCTTTCGGTAAAATCGTCAACATCATTGGAATTTAATTCTCGTTTACGAAAATTATTCGCAATTTCATAAAGTTCCGAATTATAACGCATACTTCGTCTCGCTCGCCAAAATTCCTTCGAACCATAAACATCGTGAAGGGCAATTTCCATATGATCGAATACAACTGATCTGCGAAATAATTAAGAGCAAATTATAATTTATTCTCTTTTCTTTGAAAGAAGACAATTTTTTCTTTTTTCCACTTTTCTTTGAGTAGAAATGAAAAAAAATTTCTTTTCGTAAAAAAAAAGAATCGTTTTCTTTAAAGAAAAAAAAGAAAGAAAAAAAAGTAGAAGAAAGTTTTTAAAAGAAAATATTTCTTTTTGTAAAAACAAAAAAAAAAAAGGTTTCTTTTTGAAAAACAGCAATTTTTCCTTTTGGAAAAAAAGAAAGAATTTTTTTTCCCTCTTTACCCATAAAGATGTGGTTGTAAATTTTCCTTTAATTTCGAAGCAGTTCCATGAAAAGTAACACACTTCAAATTTCGTGCCGTAATATTGTCATAGCCCCAAAAATTGCCGAAAAATTCATTTTCACCAATTTGCTCATAACGCACTCTTCCCTTCGGACAATTAGTTATTTCATTTTTTTCCCTAAATTTGCCAGTTTTAAACATTTCCTCGTCATTCTGTAGAATATAAACAATATCCAAATCGGTTCCTCCCTCAATTGACGGATATTCTAACAATAAAAAAAATTTCATTTAAAATAATTTTTCCTTACATTTAAAGAAATTCCTAAAATATTTTTAAAAAAAACTTTAAACTTTTCTTTTTTAACTGTTTTCATTATCTTCTAAAAATCGAAACAAATTTTCTTTATAAATAATTTTATTTCATTTAGTTTGTAAAAGAAAATTGAGAAACAAAAATTCGTTCAAAAAGAAAAGGAAAAAAAATTATTAAATTGAATTATTATTGAAAAGTTATCGAAAAACCAAAAACAAAAGGAAAGCAAAGGAAAAGAAAGAATTTATTGAATTTACGGAAAATTTATCGAAAAACAAAATTCTTTCAAAACCGAAAGGAAACAGAAGAAAAGAATTTACTGAATTATCGAAAAACAAAGTTCTTTCAAAAACGAAAGGAAACAGAAGAAAAAAATTTATTGAATAAAAATTAGAGGAAAGAAATAGGAAGAAGAAAAATAATTTTTTAAATTTCATAATTAGATTAAAAATTATTAAAAGAGAAAAAAAATTACGAACCTCTTAGAAATTCGTGCATTTCTAAAACTGGAATATATTTCCTGAGACTGGAAATATCAAAAAAATATCCCCAGGGAATTCGAACTTGTGCACCAACATCTTTACTTCTCCAATGATACAATTTTCCTGTAAAAAAAAACAAAAAAGTATTTTTAATTTAAATTATTACGAAAAGAAAAAAATTATAATCTTCAGTAACATTACCGATGAAATAAAATTTTTCTTGGAACTATTTACAAAATTTTACTGTAAATAAAAATAAAAATCAATTTTTTATTTAAATTATGAAAAAAAAATGGAATTTTATCAAATGATTTTTATTAAAAATTTTAAAAGTAATTGACTTTTTTAGAAGAATTTCAAAATTTCCCTGTAAATAAAAACAAAAATCAATATTTTAATTAAATTCAGCAAAAAAAAACAATAATAATTGAAGTTTTTTAAATAATTTTTATTGAAAATTTTAAGTCATTGGATTTTATGAAGAATTTCAAAATTTTTCTGTAAATAAGAAAAAACAATTTTTTATTTAAATTATGAAAAAAAATAATAAATTGAGTTTTTTTTTAATAATTGTTATTGAAAATTTTGAAAGTAAAAATTGAATGTTTAGAAGAATTTTAAAATTTTTCTGTAAATAAGAAAAAAACAATTTTTTATTTAACTTATGAAAAAAAATAATAAATTAAGTTTTTTTTAATAATTTTCATTGAAAATTTTGAAAGTAATTGAATTTTTAGAAGAATATCAAAATTTTTCTATAAATAGAAACAAAAATCAATATTTTAATTAAATTCAGAAAAAAAACAATAATAAATGAAATTTTTAAAATAATTTTTAATGAAAATTTTAAAACTCATTGAATTTTATGGAGAATTTCAAAATTTGTCCGTAAATAAGAAAAAAAACAATTTTTTATTTAAATTATGAAAACAAAATAATAAATTGAGTTTTTTTTACTACTTTTTATTGAAAATTTTGAAAGTAATTGGATTTTATAATTAAAATTTCTCGAAGAATTTCTTTACATTTCGTAAAAATAATGTATTTTTTTTTATTATTATTATTTTTTAATTGACAATTTTAAAAATAATTGAAATTTACAAAGAATGTTATTAAAAACTTTTGAGAACTCTTGAATTTTTTAGAAAAATTTTATTACAATTTTTAAAAATAATTGAAAATCCGTTGGAGAAATTTTATTAAAATAATCTTGAATATAATTGCATTTTTATTATTTATAAAAATAATTAAAATTCTTGACAAGAATTTTACAATTATTTATAAAAATAATTCAATATTGAAATTATTACTAATTTTTATTATATTCTATTTTTTATTAGATTTTATTCAATTTTTTATTCTTATTTTTTTTCTAACAATTTTTATTTAATTTGAATAGTTGAATAGAAATAATTTCACTAATAAAAGTTAATTACTCACCCCAGGGTGGAAGAACCAAAGTCCAATGATATTTGCTATTTTCTTGTAATAATTTTTTTATAAAAACCGCAATTCGAATGTAAACATCACGTCGAAGATTAAATCCTTCCGGAGGATTCACATCATAAAGAATATACCTTTTTAAAAAATTAATTAATTTCAATTGATTTGAAGTTTATTTAAAGTTTTATTTTTTAAAGAGGAATTTAAACTTTTAGTTATTTTTAGAGAAATTTATTTAGTTTATTCCTAAAAAGTTAAATTAAAAACAGTAATACCTATAAAAAAAAATTTTTAATTTTACCTTTTCGTGGAAAAATTAACATTCGACGAACATTTTCCCCCATTCTGTGAATTCGCGCAAAGTAACGAATCAGACCAGACTATTTTTACAACAATTAATAATAACAATAGACACAGTGACAACAAAAACAAACTTTTTGACATTTTTAAGGTTAGGTTACTTCACCTGTCAAACTCCGGGAACTTGGGCAATCGATTAAATTGGATTAAATATAAGTTTTTACAATTAAATATTAACATAAAAAGAGAGAATTCTTTACATTACGTATACTGTAAGTAGATTTAATCATTTTCCTCTAATTATTATCTATATAGAGTATTTAGATTTAGATAATGAGAAAAAATAAACAAACTTGTTTTCACTTTGTTTATTATCGTTTTATCTTAACTAGGTTATGTTTACAAGAAACTTTCCTTTTGCACTTTTTTCGCGAAATTTAACCCATATTTTTGTTTAAAATATTACACTTTTTTCCTGAATTTTATTAATTTAATGAAAAACATGATTTATTGTTTACAATCATTAATTTATAATTTTGTTTTTAAATCTTTTAAATATTTTGCAAGGAATTAGATTGTATACAACTCGAGTCAAAATCGCTACTATTTATCATACTTAAATTAATAATTATAAAAAGAAAAATTATATATCATTATTCGTAAATTCGGGGAAAAAGGTAGAAAATTCGTCAAGGTAACAATAAACAGTAACAAAGAGACAAGTAATAATTAATTTTGAAAAAAAAAATGTGAAGTAAGAAAAAATATTTAGTTTGACTTTAGCAGTCATTGTTTCGTTTCTCCTCTCACGTCTTTTTTTCGCCCACAATATTATTATATATTCGTTTTTATTACAATATAATTAAATATTAGGTAGTTTTCTTCTTTCGAAAAAAAGTGTAGCTATTTTTATTCGACAAATTCGGAAAAAAAAGAATGAAAATAAGTGATTAAAAATATTGAATGAAGAGTGGAGGGGAAATCTTTGACATGCGGAACTTTTCCGCATTAATGTCAAAACAATCATTGTCAAGTTGATAATAGTTTTTAAGGGGAATTTTACTCGGTTTTATCATCGAATTTTATTTGTTTTATGATTATTGTTAATTCTCAAATAGTTTAGGAAAGTGTTTTCTTCATTTTTCTTCCCGAAACAAAAATGAATTCTCATCCCCTTTGTGAGGAGGTAAAGTATATATTGTCGAATAATTTTTTTCTTTTGGGAATTTACATCCAAGGTGTATTTTCTATATTGTATTTTCCGTATTTTCTGATTTACATAATTTTCAAATACTGTTTTTCGATTTTATGCAAATGTATGTATTTTTAATGCTTTCTATTTGTTGCGAAATTTGTTTTTTGGCAATTAACCTCAACTTTGAGGTTATGTTTTACGAAAAAAGATTTTCCTTTTTTTTCTTTATATATACCTAGTTTCATTTTTTCTTTTTATTATTTATTAAATATTTCTATCGAAAAATTTGAATTGTATTATTTTGGAGTTTTTCTACTATATTAAAAAAAGAGTATAAAAGAAAAAGTGGCAATTATTTTCAAATGTTGAAAAATTGCAAATTGTTTTTTTCTGGTAAAATTCAGTTTTCTTCTTTTTGGCACGAAAATGCATTTTGGTTCTTTATTAATAAATTTTGATTGAAACCGAATATATTTTTAGATTGTTTACTTAATTTCATGTAAAATTTTCCAGTATAAAAAAATTGGAAAATTTATCAAAAATTCAAAAAAATAAAAATTGTGTCAAAAAATTATCATAATTTTAAGGAATTATTTTATTTTACAGTCGCCTTTATTGCAAGCAATTTTTCGAGGAAATTTTGAGGTCGCTAAAATAATGGTGAAACATGAAAGAATCGATTGGCATGACTCAGAAAATCGTTCATTTTTACACGCAGCAGCTTATAGGTATTTAGAAAATATAATTTTAATATTTAATTCATTATTATTTTTATAAATATTTTCTATATTTATTTTTAGTCTCATTCTTACTATTTATCTTTAATTTTTAAGATATAAAAAACCATTTTTCAAATTAAAAAATTAATTTTCGAAATTCCAAAAGTAAACTCGTTTATTCGCATTTTTTTAAATTCTCATTAAAATTTTTCAATTCAATTATTTTCAAAAGTAATAAAATTCTTCGTAGAAATTCAATTATGTTTAAAAATTTATTTTAAATTCTCATCAAAATTTCAATTATTTTTTGGAACTAATAAAATTCTTCTCTGAAATTCAATTATTTTCAAAAATTTTAATAAAATTCTTGACAAAATTCAATTATTTAGAAAAATACCAAAATTGTTCAAAGATATTTAATTATTCTTAGAAATAATTAAATTCTTTGGAAAAATTCAATTATTTTTAATATAATTTTAATAACATTTCGTGAAAGAATTCAATTTTTAAAAACATTTTTTTTTAAATAATTGAATTATTTTCTAAAATTTTAATAAATCCTTCGAAACAAATGAATAATTGAATAAATTAAAGGAATATTTAAAATAATGCAGTTATTTTCTAAAAATTTTAATAAAATTCAAGAATTAAATATTTAATTCCAATTATTAAGAAACACGATTACTGTAAAAACTTGTAAGAAATTGTTCATATGAAATTCAATTATCTTGAAAACTTTCAATTAAAATTAATCAAGAAACTCCATTATTTTAAAGAAACTCGAAAGAAATTCTTCAAAAGAATTTAATTGAGATTATGAAAAATTTTAATAAAATTCCTCCCAAAAATTCAATTATTTTCATTTAAATAATAAAATTCTTCGAAGAAATTCAATTATTATCATATTTTTTGATAAAATTATTTCAATGATTTGCAAATTTTGTATAAATTTTTTCGCAATAATTCAATTATTTTTATGAATAATATAAATTTTTAACAGACATTCAATTATTTTCGTAAATAAAAAAATTCTTTTTATGAATTCAATTATTTTCATAAATAATAAAATTTTCACAAGAATTTAATTACTTTCAAAAACAATTTTCATAACATTTTTCAAAAAAAAAATCAATTATTTGAATTGATTTTTATAAAATTCTTCGCTAGAATTTAATTCTCTAAAAAAAATTAATAAAATTCTTCTCTAAAATTCAATTATTTAAAAAAAAATTAATAAAATTCTTCATAAGAATTTAATTATTTTTGAAAATTTTAATAAAATTCGTTGCAAGAATTCAATTATTTTTAAAATTTTTTATAAAATTCTTCGAATCAATTCAATTTTAAAAAAAAATTTTCGATAAAATTCTCGTCAAAAATTTCAATTATTTTCAAAAATTTATCTTAATTCAATTATTTTTAATATCTATATACTATTTTAATAAAATTTTCCTGAAGAATTCAATTATTTAAAAAAAATTTTAATCAAATTCTGCACAAACATTTAATTATATTCATAAAATAAAAAATTTTCAAGGAATTCAATTATTTACAAATTTTTTTATAAATTTCTTCGCAATAATTTCATTATTTTCATAAATAATAAAATTTTTTTTACAAAGATTCAATTATTTTCATAAATAAATAAAACTCATTGCAGAATTTCAATTATTTTTTATACAATTTCAATTGAATTGCTCGAAAAATGTAATTATTCTTAAAATTTTTATTACAATTTATCAAAAGAATTGAATTATTTAAAAATTTTTTCATAAAATTCTTTATGAAAATTCAAGTTAAAGAAACATTCAATTATTCAATAAATTATTTATTTACATTTTATTTGTATTTAAATAATTGAATTCTAGTTGAATTTTCTAATTCTAATTTTTATTTACGAAATTGATTTAAAAATTAATTTTTGAGAAACATTCAATTATTCAATAAATTATTTATTTGCATTTTATTTGTATTTAAAATTTTAAATAATTGAATTCTCGTTGAATTTTCTAATAAAAATTGATTTAAATATGAATTTCAGTTAAAATTTTAAATGATAATTGAATATTAAACTCTAAATTTGAGTTAGTAAAAATTTTTCTAATTTAAATTAGTGACAGACTTTTTGCTTTTGAAATTTGAATTATCAGATTTTACTAATAAATACAAATTTATACTAATTTAATAGTAAAATTTACTAATTCAAAAGCAAAAATAATTGAATTTTGAAAGGGTTTCAAATTAAAATTTTTGAAAGTTTGACTTATTTTTCATTGTACTTTTAACTGAAAATTGTGTAGATTTAATTGTTTTTTAAATGTATAATGGACTTTTTTAACATTATTTAAAGTTTTTATTTTCTAATTAATATTTGATTAAAGAATTTCCGAATAATCGATGAAATTTCACGTAAAATTGAATTGTAAACAAAAGAAATTTGAAAATTTTCAAAAAAATTTTTCAAAAATTATTTAAATTAATTAATTTAAAGAAAAATTTCAGTTGAAAATTTTGGAAAATAATTGAATTGAAATGATAAAAATAATTTTTATGAAGTTACAATATTCTTGTAATATAAAATAATTATTTTATTAATATTTTATTTTTATTTTATTAATAATTTATTATAAAACATGAAGATATCGATTGCTCCGAGTCGAAGACTCGGAGTGATCGATTTCCTCATGTTTTATAACAATTTTTTTTATTAAATTGTTTAATTTCAAAAAGGTTTGCATTTGAAATTTTTTGAAAATCTTAATTCTTGTGGAAAAATAATAATCATTAAATATTTATTTAAAATTTTTATGGAAAAATAATAATCATTAATTATATTTATTTAAAATTATTCTAAAACATGAAGAAAGCGATTACTGCAAGTTTTGTTTAATTTTGTTGAATTTTTTTATTTTCTTATTTAACAGAGGCGATTTGCGAATTGTCGAGTTACTGATTGAAAATGGCGCTGACGTGAATAAAACGGACAATTCGGGACAAACTCCATTGCATAAGGCGTGTTATTTAAATAATCGGGCAATTGTTAATGCTCTACTTTTACAAAGAGCGGATCCAAACGTTCAGGATTGTAATTATCAGACACCTCTTCATATTGCCGCCGCCAATAATTCGATACCTTGCGCTCAACTATTAGCACCAGTTGTTGATATTGACGCCAAAGACAGGTGAGTTTTTTTTATTTAATTTGTAAAAGTTAATGAAAAAAGTATTTTATATTTTATTTTCTCTTTTTTTTTGCAGCGAAGGAAGAACGAGTTTACATCACGCAGCTTTCAACGGCCACGAGTGTATGACTAAATTTTTATTAGCCCATCAGGCGTCAATCGAGGAAAATGATAAAAATGGAAGAAGAGCGTTGCATGTGGCAGCGCACATGGGACACGCGTCTGTCGTTGAACTTTTATTGCAAGAATTGGCGAAAGTCGACGCTAAAGTAAGAAGAAGAACTGACAATTTTTTTTTTTTTTGAGAATTACAAAAATTAAAAGAATTTAAATTTACTTTTTTTTTATTTATTTTTTGTTTAAATTTACTTTTTTCTCGTTTCTTTCAGGATGAAGATTTATATACAGCATTACACGCGGCCGTCGCATCTGGTAGAAATAAATGTATTCGACTACTACTGGAAGCGAGTGCAAATATCGAAGCTCAAACACTCAATGGAAATACACCTTTGCATGTCGCTTGTCTCAATGCGCAGCCAAGTTCTTGCGCTTTTTTAATTAACATGGGAGCGTCCGTTGGTAAAGAAAATTTAGTATTCTATTTATTTAAATTATGAAATTAATAATTAGTTAATCTTTAACGTCCGGTATTTTTTATTTACCTATTCGGACAATGATTGTCCGAATGTTTTCGTTTTATTTACCTTTCTGGACAATCATTGTCCGAATGTTTTCGTTTTATTTACCTATTCGGACAATTAGTGTCCGAATATTTTCGTTTTATGAAATTAATAATTATATCAATAGATAAGAGTAAAATTTTTTTTTCTATATTCCAAATAAATTGTTTTAGATCCGAGAAATAGCCAGGGACACACGCCGTTGCATATAGCGTGCGCGAGTTCAGAGGACGCTGATTGTTTCAAAATTCTTCTTCAAGCTGGAGCGCAAATTAATTCTCGATCGGCGATTGGAAGAACGCCGTTACATATGACGGCAATTCACGGACGATTTACTTTCTCGAAACGTTTACTTGACGATGGAGCAGCGGTTGAGACGCAGGATAATAAGGGAAATACTGCTCTTCATTTTTCTGCTTGGTAAAATGAGAAAATTCAATTCATTTTAATAATATTTTAAAAGTAGGAAAAATTTTATTTTGTTTTTCTTGTATTAATTGGTTAAAGCTTTTTTTTCAAGGCTGGATTCGAATCTTTGGCGAATTTTTCGCTTTAGACGAAGAAATGAAGGCTGGCAGTTGCCTTCGAACTTCTAACTTTCGTTCTTGATTAATGAAAAAAAAAAATTGGCGAAAATTCTTTGCCTTTCAGGAAAAAAAATGCAGAAAGAAAAGGCATTAAGCTTCGAACTTTTAACTTTCCTTCTTGATTAATGAAAACTTGGTGAAAATTTTTCTCCTGGGACTAGAAAAAAATCTAGGACAACAAAAGCATTAAATTGCCTTCGAACTTGTAACTTTCGTTCTTGATTAATGAAAATATTTGGCGAAAATTTTTCGCTTTAAACGAATCAAAAAAACAGAAATGAAGGCAGTCAGTTGCCTTTGAACTTCTAACTTTCGTTCTTGATTAATGAAAAAAAATTGACGAAAATTCCTCGTCTTTTACGAAAAAACTACGATAAAGTTATTACTTATAAATCATTTAATGTAGAATTTTTTTTTTAAATTTTAATTTCAATTATGTCGACATTAGTTTCAAGTTTAAAAATTTTAAAACAATTTTTTGAAAGAATTCAACTATCTCAATAGATATTAAAATTCTTTCCAGAAATTCAATTATTTTCAAAAACTTTAAAAAAATTCTTGTCAACATTTCAATTATCTGCAAAATTAAATTATTTTTATAAATAATAGTATTCATCATAAGAAATCAATTATTTTCAAAAAAAAATTAATAAAATTCATGACAAAATTTCAATTATTTTCAAAAAATTTTCTTTATTCAATGTTTTTTTAATATTCTACTATTTTAATAAAATTTTCCAATAAAATTCAATTATTAAACAAAAATTTGGATAAAATTCTACACGAACATTCAACTATTTTCAAAAAAAAAAAAAAAAAAAATTTCACTGGAATTCATTTATTTTCAAAAATTTTTATTAGTTCAAATGATTTCCAATATTTTACTATTTTAATAAAATTTAGCAAAAGAATTCAATTATTTAAAACCAATTTTTGACAAAATTCTACACGAACATTCAATTATTTCCAAAAAAAAAATAAAAATACCACTAGAATTCAATTATTTTCAAAAATTTTTCTTAATTAATATTTCCAATATTTTACTATTTTAATAAAGTTTACCAAAAGAATTGAATTATTTAAAACCAATTTTGACTAAATTCTACACGAATATTCAATTATTTTTAAAAAATAATGAAAATTTCACATTATATCAATTATTAACAATAAAATTTGCATAAATTTTTTCGAAAAAAATCAATTGTTTGAAACTTTTTTTTTAAAAAATTCTTCCCAATAATTCAATTATTTTTATAAATACCCAATAAAAGTCGTTGCAGAATTTTAATTATTTTTAATACAATTTTAATCAAATTTCTCGAAAAATGTAATTATTCTTAAAAATTTTATTAAAATTCGTCGACAGAATTCAATTATTTAAAAATTTGTTGATAAAATTCTTTATGAGAATTCAATTTAAAGAAACATTCAATTATTTAATAAACTATTATCTATGTTTCAGTTTGTAAATAATTGAATTAAATAATTGATTTAATAATTATTTAATTATTAATTAAATAATTGAATTCTCGTAGAATTTTCTAATAAAAATTGATTTAAGTGTTAATTGCAGTTAAAGTTTTAGATAATAATTGAATTTTGGAGAAATTAATATAAATTGCAATTTTTAGAAAATAATTGAATTTTGTAAAGGTTTTAAATTAAAATCTTTGTAAATCTGAATTTTTTTCATACTTTTAATTAAAAATTCTATTAATTTAAAAATAGAAAATAATTGAATTGAATTGAAATAATAGAAATAATTTTGAAGAAGTTGCAGTAACAATATTTTTATATTATAATATAAAATAATGATTTTAACACCCGGTCTTTTGAAATTTACACAATTATTGAATTTCAAAAAAACAAAATTAAATTTTTGTGGCAACCCTGTGTTCGTGTAAATTCTCAATCCAAATTTTTATTTTTTTTTTTGAAGGTACGGACACGAATGTTTGACAATGAAACTATTGGAGAAAGGAGCGTCGCCTTTAACGAAAAATTCCTTGGGACAAACGCCTCTGCATTTTAGTTGTCTAAAAAATCGTGTTGAGGTAAATAATTAGATTTTATTTATTTTATGTGTTTTATTTTTTATATTTTTTTATAATTGTTATTTTAATATTATTGTTTTATTATTTTAATTATTTTCTCTAAAATTATTTTTATTTTTATTTAAAATTATTCTATTATTTTAAAGAAATATAAAAATAAAATTTGTTTTTCAGGTTTGTAGAAAATTATTGCAAGCTGACATGGGACACATTGACACGAGGGACAATAATGGAAGGACTCCTTTGCACTTAGCGGCATTTAAGGTAAATAAATTTTTTCCCCGGAAGTTAAAGATTCATTGGATAAATTGCAAAATTTAAAGACAATAATTAGTAAATTCTCGAGTTTCTAATTTTCGTTCTTGATTAATGAAAATGATTATAATAGAAAAAAAGGTGAAAAATGGTTGAAAATCGGTTGAAAAAAATAAACTATTTATTTTCAGGGTTCGGTGAATTGTCTGGACCTTCTACTCTCCAGTGGATCGAATTTTCGTTCGATAGACAACGAGGGTCGTTTACCACTTCATTATGCGTCGAGTCAGGGACAATATCTTTGTATTTTCACTCTCGTCAGCTTTGGCAGTAATCCAAACGCAATTGACATTAAGGGAGTAACACCGTTGCATTTCGCTGCCGCTTCTTCGATTCCCGAAACTTGTAGTCAGTACGTAGTCATTTTTTCATTAATTTTAATTTAATTTAACATTTATCGATTTAATTCTGAAATTATATTTATAATTTTTATCTAATATTTAAAGATTTAATTCGATCTAATATTATTAAGCAAAATATTTAATTCAAATTTATTTAATTCATAATTTAATGCCTTAAATTTAATTTATAATTTAATTACCTAAATATAACTTGAAATTAGTTAATTTTTAAATTTGGCTTTATTAAATTTGGATTTTTAAATTTGCAAATTAATATTTATTTCCATGTTTACAATTTTTCTATTTGCAGAGTCGAGGACAATTGCCGAATGCTAAATTGCGTTCAGTACTTAATTGAGCATAAAGCTGATCCATTAAAGAGGGATAAGAATAATTTTACGACACTTCATTACGCGACTATTGGAGGAAATATAAATTCGTTGAATATTATTTGGCAGGCGATTCGTGGTTCCTGTCCGAATGACGAGTTTTTGCGCGACGCCTTATTCAATCCTTCACTAACACCATTACATCTCGCGGTAAAATTCTTTTTTCTAATATAAATTTATCTCTAAATTCTCAAAATCAAAAATTCGAAAAACCGAATTTCTTAAAATTCAACATTTTTTTTTTGTTTTTTATGGCATTTGGCTTCAATATTTTTGTGCTTTTGAAAAATACTTTACTTATTTAAAAGTCTCCACCCTTTGGTAAAAAATAAAAAATTATCAAAAATATTCAAAAATTCGAAAAACCGAATTTCTTAAAATTCAACATTTTTTTTGTTTTTTATGGTATTTGGCTTCAATATTTTTGTGCTTTTGAAAAATACTTTACTTATTTAAAAGTCTCCACCCTTTGGTAAAAAATAAAAAATTATCAAAAATATTCAAAAATATTCAAAAATTCGAAAAACCGAATTTCTTAAAATTCAAAATTATTTTTGTTTTTTATGGTATTTGGCTTCAATATTTTTGTGCTTTTGAAAAATACTTTACTTATTTAAAAGTCTCTACTCTTTGGTAAAAAATAAAAAATTATCAAAAATATTCAAAAATATTCAAAAATTCGAAAAACCGAATTTCTTAAAATTCAAAATTATTTTTTGTTTTTTATGGTATTTGGCTTCAATATTTTTGTGCTTTTGAAAAATACTTTACTTATTTAAAAGTCTCTACCCTTTGGTAAAAAATCAAAAATTATCAAAATTATTCAAAAATTCGAAAAACCGAATTTCTTAAAATTCAACATTTTTTTTTTGTTTTTTATGGTATTTGGCTTCAATATTTTTGTGCTTTTGAAAAATACTTTACTTATTTAAAAGTCTCTACCCTTTGGTAAAAAATAAAAAATTATCAAAAATATTCAAAAATTCGAAAAACCGAATTTCTTAAAATTCAACATTTTTTTTTTGTTTTTTATGGTATTTGGCTTCAATATTTTTGTGCTTTTGAAAAATACTTTACTTATTTAAAAGTCTCCACCCTTTGGTAAAAAATAAAAAATTATCAAAAATATTCAAAAATATTCAAAAATTCGAAAAACCGAATTTCTTAAAATTCAACATTTTTTTTTTGTTTTTTATGGCATTTGGCTTCAATATTTTTGTGCTTTTGAAAAATACTTTACTTATTTAAAAGTCTCCACTCTTTGGTAAAAAATAAAAAATTATCAAAAATATTCAAAATTTCGAAAAACCGAATTTCTTAAAATTCAACATTTTTTTTTTGTTTTTATGGCATTTGGCTTCAATATTTTTGTGCTTTTGAAAAATACTTTACTTATTTAAAAGTCTCCACTCTTTGGTAAAAAATAAAAAATTATCAAAAATATTCAAAAATTCGAAAAACCGAATTTCTTAAAATTCAACATTTTTTCTTCTTCTTCTTCTCATTTTCTATATTTTTTTCAATTTATTTTCTATTTATTTTTGAATTCATTTTCTATGTATTTTTCAATTTATTTTCTTCATATTTTTCAATTTATTTTCCATACATTTTTCAATTTATTTTTCTACGTACTTTTCAATTTATTTTTTAGATATAATTATTTTTTAACTATTGTTATTTTTTTTTTAAATTATTAACTATCGATTAAAATTTAAACAGTTAATAAATAGTAGTAATTTTGTTTCCAGGCGTATCATGGACATCATCACATTGTACGTTGGCTTCTTGGTGTTTATAAAGATGTGCAAATTCGAGACGATAATGGAAAGACGCCATTTTCACTTGCACGCGCGAGAGGTCATGAGGAATGCATTGAACTATTGCAACCACAAATCAAGCAACATAATGAGGCGAAAAAGCGTAAAAGTTTTTAGAAAACAAAAAGAATTTCCCCTTGCGCTTTGGAACAAAAAAGAAAAAAGAAGAAATTGTTTTTCAACGTTTCTTTTTTTTCTCTTTTTTTTCCTTCGGCTCCCCACATAACGGAGCTTTATTCATACTGGGAAAAGCTCACAGGAATATTCAAGAAGAGATTATTGTCAACTTTTGACCCGCCAATTCTGTGTTAAATATTTATTATCATTTATAAGGTGAGATTTTTTATTTTATTTATTTATTTATTATTTATTCGTGTATATAATTTATTCATATGCAAATTTTTTATTAGTTTTTTAATTGTTTTTTTTTTGGTACTATTTTTGTACTTTTAAATTGTTTTATTCGATTGAAATTTATGAAAAATCAATCTTTTATTTTGTCTATTTTACGAATCGTTAAACGTATTTATTTATTTATAAATTTATTCATAAACGTTTATAATCGTAAAATGTACTCGTAAATATTTATTTATAAATTTATTTTTAAACATTTGTTTATAAATTTATTTTTAAACATTTGTTTATAAATTTATTTCTAAATATTCATTTATAAATTTATTTATAAATATTTAGAACTGTAAAATATTTTCACAAATATTTATTTAGAAATTTATTTCTTAATATTTATTTAAAAATTTATTTCTTAATATTTAGTTAGAAATTTATTTATAAATATTTATAAAGAAATATATTTGTAAATTTATTTCTTAATATTTATTTACAAATTTATTTATAAATATTTATTTGTAAGTTTATTTACAAGTATTTATTTATTTACTTATTTACAAATTTACTTATAAATATTTATCTATAAATTTTTTCTTAAATGATTAAATTTTAAATATCCTATTTAAATACATAAATTAATTTTTAAATAAATAAACAATATTTAAATACATAAATAATGAGATTTACATATAAAATACCGAAAATAGAAAGAGATTTTTTTTTAAATAATGGATAAAAAAAATAATAGCAATTCGACTGACAGAATTTAATAAGTGTAAATATTGAAAAAATACCTAAAAATTTTTAATCAATGATTAGAAATTGCAAAGAAAAATGAGATTATTTTATTTATTTGTTATTTATTTTCTGTGAATATTAATTTTTTATTTTTTACGCGAATTTTAAGATTGTGACAAGAAAATAATTAAAAAAATTGTGTCAATTCAATTTTCCGAAAGAGGAAAAAATAATATATATGAGTTAATTGCAATTTTTTGTCATTGATTTTAAATTTAATTAACTATAGTAAACGAAAGACTCTGATCGATGCTCTCTGCAGTGAAGACTTAAGATGAATAATAGTAATTTAAATAATAATAATACTAATATTAATAATAATAATAAAAAATGGCAAAAATAGAAAAATAACGATAAAAATAACAATAATTTTTAATAATAAAAATAATAGTAATAATAATAATGAGAGATAAAAATAAATAAAAACTACAAATCATAATAAAAGGAAAAACAAAATAATTTATATAATAATATAAAATAATAATACCTAATAAAAAAAAAGTAAAAAAATAATGAAATAATAAAAATAGCAATAAGTTAATGAAAATAGTAATAAAGCAATAAAAATAGTAATAAAGCGATAAAAATAGTAATAAAATAATAAAAATAGTTATGAAATAATAAAACTAATAATTAATTAATAATAATTAATTAATAATTAAACTAATAGTAATAATAATTTAATACAATGGTACAAAGTTTGCTGCATTTTAAAAAAAAACTATTTCCTTTTTGCAAAAAGTAGTTTATAAAAAAATTATAGTCATCGAATAGTGAAAAGAAATAGAGCCTATTTATTAAAAAGAAAAACAATTTTTTCTACATAAAATTTTGATCTCTTACTCAAGTAACAAAAAAATAAATAATAAATTTTAATCTTTACAGTTTTAGAAATAAAACAAAAAAATTAACTTAATTATAAATAACGAGCAAAAAAAAACAAAAAAAAAATAAATAAATAAATTTTTTTAGAACAAATTTTTTATAAATCTCATTAAAAATAATCTTTTTTCTATAGAAAAAAGGAAAGAGAGAAAGAGGTGAGGAGTTTAGAAATAAATCGTTTTGTGTTTTTTTTTATAAATAAATCACATTTTATTTTCTGTCACGCGATACATTAAAAAATATTTTCAAAATCTCATTCAATCTAATCAATCTAAAAAAAAATGGAAAATCGTTATTTTCAATTTATCGATCGTCCTAAAGCAATATATCGATATTTTTCGATATAGAAGAGAATGTATAGATACTAATCGATGTCTTAAAAAATTTATCAATACTAATCGATGTCTTAAAGAATATATCGATATTAATTAATATCTTAGAGAATCTATCGATATTAATCAATATATTAGAAAATATATCGATATTTATCAATACTCATCGATATTTATTGAATAAATCTATATTTTATCGAAAATGTCGATAATTTATCGATTATGTCGATATTTTTTTAAGTATTTCGATATTTTATCGATAAACGGTTATATATCGATAATCTATTTATATACGATTAAATATATCGATAATCTATCGACATACGATTAAATATATCGATATTCTATCGATAAACGATTAAATAACGATAATCTATTTATATACGATTAAATATATCGATAATCTATCGACATACGATTAAATATATCGATATTTTATCGATAAACGATTAAATAACGATATTCTGACGATAAATCGATTAAATATCAATATTCTATCGATAAATCAATTAAATATCTATATTCTATTGATATATCGATTAAATATTAATATTCTATCGATATATCGATTAAATATCGATATTCTATTGATAAATCGATTAAATATTGATATTCTATCGATATATCGATAGAATTTTGTTTTAACTTTAAGAAAAAGAAAAATATCGATATTTTTTAATAAGGATACTTGCAATAACTAATTCAGTCAAAATTTTTAACAAACAAAAAGACATCATTTTTTTTCTGAAAACTGTACATATTTACAAATGTATTTACATTTTGATGCTTTTTTTCACAAACAAAAAAAAAACAAACAAACAAACAGACAAAAAACAACAACAATATGATTCGTATAGATAAAAATTTTTTTTTAAATTTTGTCCATCATTTTTTTTTCTAATGAAATATTATATGATATCAGTGATGGACAAAAAGTCTGCGATAAAATTGATGATTTAATGTAAATTTTTTTATTTTTAACGTATATTTACGCAATTATGCGTAAATATAATGGAAAAAAACGTAAAAATTGCGATTTTGTGCAATAATGAACGAAGTTACGGAAATATTACGTAAATATTAATATATAGTTACATTGTCTTAGGTAACTATGTAAAAATTACGCAATTCTACGCAAAAAACATTATTTTACGAAATTTACGTAAAATACGTTAATTTTGATTTGGTAATTTTTTATTTTTACAATATTTAAAAAAAAATTACGTGACCATTTCAATGATTTACGAAAAATTACTTCAGAAAGTTTACGTAATTTTGTAAAATTCACGTAAAAGCGTAAATTTAAATTACGCTAACACGTAAACTTACGTAAATATGCAAACTTACAAAAGGTATAAATTAGGGAAATACGTAAACTTACGTAACTTATAAATGTTATAAATACGTAAAATTACGTAAGTTATAATTATGTAAATAGGTAAACTGACGTATCTTACAAATTATGTTAATAAGTAAATTTACGTAAGTTACAAGTTACGTAAATTTACGTAAGTTACAATTTACAAGTTCATGCCTTAACTATAACGTAATTTATGAATTACGTTAGTGCGTTAATTTACGTAAGTTATTATTACGTAATTGCGTAAACATACGTATATTTTAAATTACTAAAGTTATGAATTACGTTTACGTAAAATCTAATTATTAATAAATAATAATTTTACGACGTAAATGTATAAACTTACGTAAATGGTAAATTACGTAATTCCGTATACTTACGTAAGTTTTTAATTACACATGTGCGTAAATTTACGTAAGTCCGTGTAAGTATAACAAAAAAATTACTTTTTTTTGTTACATATTATGTAAAGTTACGTATAAATACATAGTCATGGAAAACGTAGATATGTAAATTTACGTAAATTTCGAGCCGGCTAATTTTTTTTTATACTTTTAACAATTTGTGTAAAAGTTTGTCGAAATAAAATAAAAAAAAAAATTTTTTTTTAGAATAATAAAATTGTACCTCATAGCTCTATGGGAATGTCAACGAATATTATTTTTGATTTTTAAAACAAGAAATAGATTTTTAACAAAATAAATTTGTTTACAATATTCTTTAATTATTTTCTTCCAATCACTTTTCTTTCAAAGGTTTCTTTTTAAAAATCAAAAAAAAAATTTTATTTATTATTATAATTATATTTATTATAATCAATTAATAATAATTATTAATTAATCATTGATATTAATTAATAATTAATTTCAATTACAGTAATTATTCATTGTAATTAATAATTATTTATAATAATTATTAAATTATAATTCTTTCCCTTTTCTTAATTTTTCCTTAAATTTTTCTTTATTTTTCTCCCTGTGATTTAGAGAAAAAAAATTTTTTGGTCCTTTTTTTTAATTTCGCCCAAAATTTAGAGATATAATTTTTCTACTGGTATACAACTAATTTCAAGTCTTGGATCATTTTGATAATTTTTCGTATTTTGTTGGGAATTTTTCTTCTCAACATTATCGAGCGTTAAATCGAGAGTAAAATTATCATATGCATAGACATTTGCAATCATATTTGGATATTTGTCCTCTGATACGTTTTTGAAATTTTTCAGCGTCACATTCTTGGGTTCAGTGACAATTGATGATTTTATTTTTGACTGACCACTCGTGAAACCAGTTTCAATTTGATCCAAACTACGACCACGTGTTTCGGGAAGTATTGTCATTGCAAAAACAGCACCTGCGAGAGAAAATTGAAAAAGGTTTTTATTTGCAATTTTTTTTAACAATTATAATTTTAGAAATTACTTTTTTTTTATTCGTAATTATTTATTTTGTTTTTTTAATTTTTTGGTTTTCCAATCGAAAAATAATTTACATTCCCAATCGAAAAAAAATCGATCTGTGAATACACCTTAAAATTTGTTTTGAAAATTTATTAAGTCAGTCGATAATAGAGAAATCTAACGGTGAAAAAAAAGACGCGGGAAATTTAAATTTTCAAGTTTTTAATTTAGACGAAAAGTTTATGAAATTTCTTAGTGTGAATACATCTTAAAATCTATTTTTAGAGTTAATAATAAAGATAATAAACAAATCTAACGTAAAAGATAAAAAGTCGCGGAAAATAAAAAATATTTAATTAACAAAATGACTAATTGTGAATAAACCTTTAAATTTATTTTAGATGTTTATTAACATAGTCGATAATAAATAGATATCTAACGTTAACACTGAAAAGTCGCGAAACATCAAAATTTTCAATTATTTAACTTGAAAATAATGTTTCATTAACAAAATTATTAGTTGTGAATAAACCTTAAAGTCTGTTTTACGAATTTTATTAACGTAGTCGACAATAAAGAAATCTGACTATAAAAAGAAATGACGCGGGAAATTTGAGATTTAAGTTGAAAAAAAAGTTTTAATTATCAAAAGGACTAATTGTGAGAAAACCTTAAAGATTGATTTAAAAGTTTACTAACACAGTCGATAATAGAGAAACTCTAATTTAAAAAAAAATTAGAAATAAATTAAAAATTTTCGAAAGTGTTCCATTTAAAAATAAAAAACTTAAAAATATTGCAAATTGTGAATAGACCTTAAAATTTGATTTGAAAATTTTACAGTCGGTAGGAGAGAAATTTCCACAATTGTGAATAAACCTTAAAACTTGATTTCGAAAGTTTATTCACAAAGTCGGTAATAGACAAAATTGTAAATAAACCTTAAAATTAGAATTTTAAAAATTTACTAACACTGTCGGTAATAGAGAAAACTTACCACGCGGGAAATTCAAATTTTTAAATAATTATTAAACTTTTTTAGAATCATTTTTTTGATTAAAAAGAATTTTTAAATCATTTTTTTTAATTTAAAAAGAATTTTTTTATTTAAAAATTGTTTTTTCTCGGTTTGAAAATATGAAAAAAAAAATTTTTTTACCTAGCAATCCAGCCGCGCTGAATGTCCACATTGTTGATTCAAGTCCAAGAAATGAATTGACGTCGGGATAAGATTTAACAGCGGCAAAGGTTAAAATTTGAGCAATACTTGTCGTCAGTCCGCCGAAAATTCCCCGAAGTCGTAATGGATAAAGTTCCGAGGTCATTACCCATGGCAAGGTTAAATATCCAATCATTGAAAATCCCACGTGGCTCGCGACACACGTCAATGGCAACAATGAAGGTATTTCAAATCTAAAAAAAAAAGTATTTTTTCATTTCTTCATATTTTTGCAATTTTTCGCATGTGACAATTATTTACTTTTTTCATTTAAAATAATTTAATTATTTAGAAAATTAATTTAATTATTTACATTTCACTAAAAAATAATTATTTTTTTTTACAATTGTTTCCTTAATTGTGAATTTTTTTACTCGATTGCCATACGCGATAAATGCTTTTCTCTGCAATCGGGCAGGTTAAGCAACGTGTCGAGATGTTAACAATTGTGATGGGTGTCCCACACGGAGTCACCCTTTTTTTATCATCGAAATTCGACTTTTTTTTGGACTATTTTTTATTAATACTAGCGAAAAATAATTATTTTTGACCTCAAATATTGGAAATAACCATTTTTTTTTATTTTTATTAAAATAATTAATATACATAGCAAATATTTTATTTATATTTCATTTTTACAGAATTAAAATCGAATTTAATTATTTTCCGCTATTTTCTTTTGAATCGTAAATTTTTTTCTACGATTACAATACACGATTAATGCTTTTTTCTGCAATCGTGGAGGTTAAGCATAGTGGCGAGATGTTAATAATTGGGATAGGTGTCCCCTACGGCATCATTTGCTTTTTTAAATCGAAATTTGATTTTTTTCACTATTTTTTATGCATTGTAGTGGAAAATAATTTTTTTTAATGTTAAATATTTGTAATTAATTAGTTTTTCTCTTATTTCTTCTAAAAATAATTAACATAATTAGCAAATATTACATTTTTACTGCATTAAAATGAAATTTAATTTTTTTTTAAGAGAGTATTTTGAATCGTAAATATTTTTCAACGATTGCTATGCACGCAAAATGCTTTTCTCTACAATCGTGTAGGTTAAGCAACGTCGCGAATTGTTACTAATACGGATAGGTGTCCCACACCGCGTCACCTTGTTTTTTACATCGAAAATCGTTTATTTTTAACTATTCTTTAAAAAAAGTAGCGGAAAATAATGTTTTTAATTCTAAAAATTTGTTATAAATCCGTTTTTTTCTAAAAGAATTAACACAATTAGTAAATATTGCGTTTTCACTGAAAAGTAATCAAATTTAATTTTTCTTTACAAGTATATTTTTAATTGTAAATTTATTTCTATGGCTACAATAGACGACAAATAAAGCTATTCTTAGCTAGGTTAAGCAAAGTGACAATGGGTTAGTAATCGGGATGGGTGACCCACATGGCGTCACCTTGTTTTTTTTACATAAAAATTGTTCTTTAAGCTATTTTTGATGAATTTTAGCAGAAAAAAATAATTTTTTAATTTTAAAAATTCGTAATAAATCAGTTTTTTTTCTTTTTTTCGTAAAATAATCAACATAATATTTATTAAATATTGCATTATTAATGAAGCAAAATTTAATTACTTTTTATTACTTTATCTTGAATTGTAAATTTTTTTTCTATGATTGCAAAACACGTAAAATGCTTTCCTCCACAATCGTGCAGGTTAAGCAACGTCGCGAGTGGTTACCAATCCGGATGGGTGTCCTGCACCGCGTCGCCTTATTTTTTACATCGAAATTCGATTTTTCTTACTATTTTCGATGAATATTATCAAAAATTTTAACTAAGTTTTTTTTAATAATTTTTTTAGTATAAGTTTTTTAGAATTTTTTTCAGTAATTTTTTTACTAATAATTTTTAGTAATTTTATACTAATTTTTTTAGTATTTTGTTAGTAAATTTTTAGTAACTTTTTTAAAAGTAATTTTGGTATTTTTTAGTTTTTTAGTATTTTGTTGGTAATTTTAGTATTTTTTTCAGTAATTTTTTTACTAATTATTTTTAGTAATATTTTAGTAATTTTTTTAGTATTTTTTTCGTAATTTTTTTTAGTAATTTTAGTATTTTTTAGTTTGTTAGTATTTTTTCAGTAATTTTATTAGTATTTTTTCAGTAATTTTTTTAGTATTTTTTTCAGTAACTTTTTTACTAATTATTTTTAGTATTTTTTTAGTATTTTGATAGTAATTTTTAGTAACTTTTTTAAAAATAATTTTGGTATTTTTTAGTTTTTTAGTATTTTTTTAGTAATTTTAGTATTTTTTCAGTAATTTTTTTACTGATTATTTTTAGTAATATTTTAATATTTTGTTCGTAATTTTTTAGTAATTTTAGTATTTTTTAGTTTGTTAGTATTTTTCAGTTTTTTTTAGTATTTTTTTATGTAACTTTTATTAGTAATTTTAGTATTTTTTTCAGTAATTTTGTTACTATAATTATTGTTAGTAATTTTTTTAGTATTTCGTTAGTATTTTTTTAGTATTTTTTTTAACAATTTCTTAAGTAATTTTTTTAAATACTTTTTTTAAAGAAATAGTAATTTTTTTCTAATTACCTCACTGATAATGCGACACCAAGTGCAGAAGCCGCCATTCCAAGACCGCTAATTGACGCCAATGTTTTTCGTCCCAAATTTCTTGCCAATGCAGCGCCAACAATTGACGCCAATAATCGAACGGCGCCAATTCCAACGCTACCTAAATACTCATCGATACTAACGCCAATGTCCTTGAGCACTGAGACGGCGTAAAATAGAATAATATAAATGCCAGAAAGTTGTTGTAGGGCAAAAAATAGCAATAATATGAGAAATGGTTTCCAAATTTTCGAATAATCATCATTTGAATGAAAAATATTACTATTGGAGGATTCTAATTTTAAATTTGACACTGACGATGATAATTCATTGTGTTCAATGTCTGTTGATAGGCCGGGACCCCGTAGCCAAAGCAGGGCTTCTTTTGCTTCCTCAATTCGTCCCCTTGTCGCTAACCACGCTGGTGTTTCTGGCAAAATTCTAGAAAAAAAAATCAAAATTAGTTTTTCTTTTTTTTTGAAGTATTTTTGAAAAATTGATTCAGTTAAAATAGTATTTTTGGGAAATTTATTTGGTAGAAAAAGTATTTTTGAAAAAATTAATTTGGTAAAAACAGTATTTTTGAAAAATTGATTCAGTAAAAAAGTATTTTTGAAAAATGTATTTGTTAAAAAAAGTATTTTTGAGAAATTTATTTGTTTGCAAAAAGTATTTAAAGTATTTAAAAGACACTAAAAGTTTTATTTACTCCAAATACCAAATGAAGGTATTTTTGAAAAATTTATTAACTAAAAAAGTATTTTTCAACATTATTTTACTACACAAATGTATTTTTCAAAATCGTTTTAGGGACCGTTCAAAAAATACGTAACGCTATTTTTCGGAAATTTGGACCCCCCCCCCCTTCCCTCCATGTAACGCAATGTTGTATACATTAGCGCCATTTTTTCTGCTGACCGTAACAAATAGCTTGACCCCCCCTCCCCCCAAAAATCGTTACGTATTTTTTGAACGGCCCCTTACTAAAAATATGTATTTTAAAAGTAATTTACTAAAAGTTACTAAAAGATATTTACTAAAAATACTAAAAGAAGGTATTTTGGAAAATTTATTCAAAAAAAGTATTTTTGAAAATTATTTTACTAAAGAAATGTATTTTTTAAAATCGGTTTAAGAACAAAATGTAGATTTTGAAAGTGATTTCCTAAAAAAAATACTTTTTTTGTTTGCTAAATTAGTTTTTAAGAAAATATTATTCTATAGCTATTTTTAAAAAATACTTTTGATATTCTTCCGTGAAACAGTTTTCGGAAATCAAAAATACTTTTTGTAAATCAAATTTTAAATATAATATTGTTAAAATTGACACACAATAAGAAATATTTTTAAAAATTAAAAAAATAATAAAGTAATTTTTAAAAATTGAAATTTTTTTTTTTTAAAAAACTTTTTTATAAATTTAATTTTTAAAAATACTATTATAACTTATCTACTCAAAAAAGTATTTTTTTAAATCGAGTGACGATGAAAATTTTTTTTTTAAATTCATTTTAAGAAGTATTTTTTTATATTAATTTCAAAAATTTAATTTTTCAAAAAAGTATTTTTCTACGAAGGAAATTACTAAATTATAAATTTACCTTGTCAACGCCAGTGATAGAATAGCAGGAGCAATACTAATTGCTGCAGTATTTTGCCATGTAGTCATGGCACCTAAACTATAAGATATTAAAACGCCAAAGGAAACCATAACTGGCCCTATACTGGCAAGCCAGGCCCGCTGGTGGGGTGCAGCAACCTATTAAGGAAAGTATTTTTAAGTATTTTTTTAAAAAGTATTTTAAAGTGTATTTTTCAAAAGTATTTTAAAGTATGTTTTTAAAAATATTTTTAAGTATCTTTCCAAAAAGTATTTCCAAACATTTTTTAAAAAGTATTTTAAATCTGTTTTTAAAAAGTATTTCTAAACATTTAAAAAAAAGTATTTTAAAAAGTCTTTTTAGTTATGTTTTTAAACAGTATTTCAGAGTATTTACCTTTTACAAAGTATTTTTTGAAAAATGTTTTACAGTATTTTTCAAAAATATTTAAAAGTATTTTTTAAAAAGTATTATAAAGTATATTTAAAAAGTATATCAAACTACTTTTGAAAGAAATATTTTTAAATAAAAGAAGGTTTTTGGAATTAAAGTATTTTTTTAAAATAAAGTATTTTTGAAAGTACATTTTCGAAGAAAAAGTATTTTTAAGTAAAGAAGTTTTTACAGTAAAGTATTTTTGAAATTAAAATATTTTTGATAAAGAATTTTAAAAAGAGCCTATTGTATTTTTGAGATTAAAGAATTGTTTAAAACTTAAAAGTGAAGTATTTTTCAAAATAAAGTATTTTTGAAGGTAAAATATTTTCAATAAAGTATTTTTAATAAAGTATTTTTGAAAGCAAAGAAGTTTTCACAGTAAAGTATTTTTGAAAGTAGAATATTTTTGAGAAAGTATTTTTGAAAATAGAATATTTTTGAAAAAGTATTTTTGTAAGTACAGTACTTTTTGATAAAGTATTTTAGAAAGAAAATTTATTTTTGAAAGTAACGTATTTTTGAGAGTAAAGAATTTTTCACTGTAAAGTATTTTTCAAAATAAAGTATTTTTTAAAGTAAAGACTTTTTCGAAGTAAAGTATTTTTCAAAATTTAATATTTTTAAAAGTATATAAAATATCATTTTTTAATGAAAAGTTAGAAAATAAAACAAAATTAGAAAAAGTAATTTTTTTGGTAGAAAGTATTTTTTTTCGAAAATACCTCACTAACGTAGAGGTAGAGTCCATTTGCCATTCCAGTGCCAATTCCACTGACAATTCTGCCCGCGTATAATAGTGGGACACTGGTTGAAAATGCAATAATTAACCAACCGGCAATATGGGGCAATGTTGCCACTGCAATTGCTGATTTTCTGCCAAAAAATTCAGCCATAATCCCAGCCATTAATGCGCCCACTGGGTTCGAAATAACACCTAATGACGCAATCCACGAACATTCTGATACTGTCGCAAAATTTGTGTCCAACAATTTTGGTATTAGAATTGCACTGAATCCTTGTGATAGGCCAACGGAAATTTGTCCCGAGTGCGCTGCCAGTCCAGCAATAATCTTTAGGCAAAACAAAAAAAAAAAAAATACATTTTTTTGAGTATTTTTGGGAAAAAAAATTTTTAATTACAAAAATAAAGTATTTTTATTTTATTTTTTGTTCTAAAATAGAGTATTTTTAAAAAAAAAGTATTTTAGCACAAATAGTATTTTTAAGTAAAGAGTATTTTTTAGTAAAAAGTACGTTTAAATAAAAAGTATTTCTGAGTCAAAAACATTTTTAAGTAAAAAGTATTTTTGAGTATTTTTTGGTAAAAAGTATTTTTGAAAAAGTATTTTATCACAAATAGTATTTTTAAGTAAAAAGTATTTTTGGGTAAAGAGTATTATATAGAAGTATTTCTGAGTAAACCGTATTTTTTGGTAAAAAGTATTTTTGAAAAAGTATTTTATCACAAATAGTATTTTTAAGTAAAAAGTATTTTTGGGTAAAGAGTATTATAAAGAAGTATTTCTGAGTAAACCGTATTTTTTGGTAAAAAGTATTTTTGAAAAAGTATTTTATCACAAATAGTATTTTTAAGTAAAAAGTATTTTTGGGTAAAGAGTATTATAAAGAAGTATTTCTGAGTAAACCGTATTTTTTGGTAAAAAGTATTTTTGAAAAAGTATTTTATCACAAATAGTATTTTTAAGTAAAAAGTATTTTTGGGTAAAGAGTATTATAAAGAAGTATTTCTGAGTAAACCGTATTTTTTGGTAAAAAGTATTTTTGAAAAAGTATTTTATCACAAATAGTATTTTTAACTAAAAAGTGTTTTTGAGTAAACCGTATTTTTTTGGTAAAAAGTATTTTTTTAATAAGTATTTCAAGCAAAATAGTATTTTTGTTTGAAAAGTGTTTTTTTGTTCTATTCTTTTGATACAAAGAGTTTTTTGAATAAGTATTTAGTTAAAATATTTTTGTAAAAAAAGTATTTTTGAATATAAAGCAGCTTTCGAAATAAAGTATTTTTTAAATAAATATTTTAAGATGAATAATATTTTAGGGTAAAAATTATTTTTTGACAAAGGTATTTAAAAATAATTATTTCTTAGATAAATATTATTTTTGAGTAAAAGGTATTTTAACTAAAAGTATTTTTGAAGAAGTATTTTATAATAAAAGGTGTTTTTTTTTTAAATTTTTCTGATAGAAAGTATTTTTGGATTTTATAAAAAATAGTTTTTTCCTTCAAAAATTATTTTGAAGTAAACAGTGTTTTCTGTTAAAGAATCTTTTTGAATAAGTATTTTAGGGTAAATAGTATTTTTCAGTAAAAAAAAATACCTATTTTTCAATAAGACACTAATTATTAAGAATGTATTTCAACTAAAAAGTATTTTTTGGTGAAAAGTAATTTTGAATAAATATTTTAGAAAATATTTTATTTCTATATATAAAAAGTATTTTTATTTAATTTTTTTAATAGAAAGTATTTTTAAATAAAAAGTAGTATTAAGAAAATGTTTATTATTTTAACCAAAGAGTATTTTTGAGTAAACAGTATTTTTCGTAAAAAGTATTTTAGGGTGAAAAGTATTTTTAAGTAAAAAGTATCTCTGAGAAAAAAGTAATTTTGAGTGAAAAGTATTTTTGAGTAAAAAGTACTTCTGTGTAAAAAGTATTTTTGTTCAAAATGGTCTCATGACAAAGAGTATTTTCGAATAAATATTTTTTAGCAAAAAGTGTATTTTGGAGTAAAAAGTATTTTTCGAGTAAACAGTATTTTTTGGTGAAAAGTAATTTTGAATAGATATTTTAGAAAATATTTTATTTCTGTACAAAAAGTATTTTTGTTCCATTTTTTTAATAGAAAGTATTTTTAAATAAAAAGTAGTATTAAAAAAGTTTATTTTATCCAAAAAGTATTTTTGAGTAAACAGTATTTTTAGTAAAAAGTATTTTAGGGTAAAAATGGTCTCATGACAAAGAGTATTTTCGAATAAATATTTTATAGCAAAAATTGTATTTTTGAGTGAAAGGTATTTTTTAATCAAAAATATTATCTACTACAAATAAGAAAGTTTAACTCCAAAAAGTATTTTTGGGAAACAATAAAAATATTATTCCCATTTCAATTAGAAAGAAAAGAATAAAAAAACCATATTAATTAAATTTTGAAAAATTGATAGTTTTCTTTTACAAAAAAAAATTTAATTTTTATTTTATCATCCCAAGGTTGAATCGATCGATGAATCGATCGATCTCTGGTGAGTTAAACGTTTTCTTTTTTAATAATATAAAAAGAGATTTGCTTTTTTAATTTATTCTGGTCGACAATTATCTTTGTCCATCGTTTCTTCTGGAACAATCGTTTCCCTTTTCCATTCAATATTTGAAGGACAACCATATTGCAAATTGCAAATTACAATTTGTATAATGGATAATATTTGTCTGACGAAGAAATATATTTACTTCTTTTTTTTTGTTGTTTTTAATATACTCGTGTTCTTATCGATCATTTAAAATCGATCGTTTGCCATTCACTCTCTTTCAAAAACATTGATTGGGTTATTTTTTTTCCTTTTTTTTCTTATTCGCATCTTTTTTTTGGTTCACCACTTTCAATCATCTACTTATTTTTTAATTAAAAAAATAAAGTAATTAATTAATCATAAATGTTAATGAAATTAATAATAAAAAATTAAATTATGATGATAATAAGAAAATATTTGTTACTAGAAATACTTTTACTAAAAAATGGTTTGGTTAACAATTTTTTTTACTAAAAATTACTTTACTAAAATTACTTTTACTAAAAATATTTGTTACTAAAAATATTTTTCCAAAAAAATATTTTGACACTAAGAATATTTTTACTAAAAAATTATTTTATTAAAAATATTTGAACTAAAAGAGTGTTTTAATAAAAAATACTTTTACTAAAAAATACTTTTACTTTTACTTTTACTAAAAATACTTCTCCTAAAAACACTTTTACTAAAAATAAAAAATATTTTAATTAAAAATACATTTGGTAAAATACTTTTATTGAAAATATTTTAACTAAAAATACTTTTAGCAAAACAATATTTAGAACTAAAAATACTTTTACTAAAAATACTTTGACTGAAAAATTCTTCTATTAAAAATATTTTAACTGAAAATATACTCTTAGCAAAACAATATTTGGAATTAAAAATACTTTTACTAAAAATACTTTTACTAAAAATGCTTTTACTACAAATACTTTTACTGAAAAATTATTTTATTAAAAATATTTTAACTGAAAATACTTTTCCTAAAAATACTTCTACTAAAAACACTATTATCAAAACAATATTTGTAACTAAAAATACTTTTACTGAAAATATTTCAACTAAAAATACTTTTAGCAAAAAAATTTTGAAATTAAAAATACTTTTACTAAAAAATTGTTTCGTTAAAAATTTGTTTACTAAAAAAAATACTTGACTAAAATTACTTTTACTAAAAAATATAATTAATAGCTATAATAAAAATCCTTTGACTAAAATAACATCTTTACTAAAAATATTTTATTAAAAAAATTCTTTAATATAAATATTTTTACTAAAAATATATTTTTCAAACTAAAAAGTATTTTTGATTGTTGCTGTTAATTATTATTATTTTTATTATTGAAATTAGAATTATTGTTAATGTTATAATAATCATTGTTAGTAGCGTTATTGTTATTATTATAATAGTTATTGTTAGTAACATTATATTATTTATTTAAAAATTAGTTTTATTAATTAAAATACTCCTTACACCTTTCGAGTCTTCAGTTTGAAAAAGTTTCCACCAGTATTTTAGTCTTTTCGTCACCATTTTCTTGGAACTTTTCACACCTCACCTTTTAAAAAACAGAAAAGTTTTAATTAAAAATAGTGATAATTGAAATATGTTAAAAGTTAATTTAGAAACTAAAAAATGAGTCAAACTGAGAAAATATCTCAATTTCAATCCTCATATATATACGCACGAGAAATAGTTCTTTTAATCGTTTTAAAAACGTCACAAAATTCTATTTCTTATTTTCATTATTTGATAAGGATTATAATAATAATAATTTATAATGAATATTTTTAACGAACTTTTTTCAATTATCTAATGTCAAAATTTTTTTAGATATTTTTTATCGACAAATACTTATTAGCATGAGAATAATACCTTAAAAAAAATATATATTTTCAATCATGGAAACAAAATTTTTTGAAAAGAATATTATTTTACTCTCAACAATGTTTTTTTTTCTTTCGTCAAAAACACTTTTTATCTAAGAATCTTTTTTAGTAATTAATAGTTCTTTTTTCAAGGAAAATATGTTAATGTCAAAAGAATTTTTTTAATGAAAATACATATTTTAGAAAAATACAATTTACTCAAAAATACTTTCATCCCTAAAATACTTTTTAATCAAAAATAATTTCTTCTTTAAAATACTTTTTACTCAAAAATACTTTCTTACCTAAAATACTTTATACTTAAAAATACTTTCTTTCTTAAAATACTTTTTACTCAAAAATACTTTTTTCCCTAAAATACGTTTTAATCAAAAATAATTTCTTCCCTAAGATACTTTTTACTCAAAAATACTTTTTCATCTAAAATACTTTTTCACCTAAAATACTTTACACTGAAAAATACTTTCTTCCCTAAAATACTTTTTACTCAAAAATACTATTTACCTAATAGTACCATTTATTCAAAAGTACTATTTACTTAAGAATACTTTTTACTCAAAAATACTTTCTACCTAAATAATATTTTGTAATCAAAAATATTATCTACCCAAAATACTTTTTACTCAAAAATACTATTTACTTAAAAGTATTTTCTACCCTAAAATACTTTTTGCTCAAAAATATTATCTACCTAAGAATACTTTCTACACAAAAATACTATTCACTCAAAAATACTTTCTACCCACAAATACTTTTTACTGAAAAATACCATTTGCAAAAAAAAATTATTTACTCAAAAATACTTTTTTTTTATTAAAAAGTATCTGCACATTGTATCGGAAAAATTATAATTTAATTAAAAATACTTTTTCTAAAAATATACTTTATATAAAAGAAAATGTTTCATTTTAAAAATAAATTAAGAAATTATTTTTTATTTCCGTAAAAAGTCATTCACAAAATCTCTAATTATGCGATTAATATATTGGCGTGAGGTAATTATTGCTTTATCAATTAATGAAAATATTTAAAGAGAATAAGCCTTCTTTTGTGAATCCCATTTGTCAATTCTGTAATCGCAAATTTTTTTTTCTTCTGACGTCAGCACAAAATTTTCTTTCGTATTTCGAAAATATTCTTGTAAAAAAAGAAATGTTTTTAATTCTATTATTATAAACTCATTTGTATTTTTTTGTTCTTATATTTTCATACATTTTCATAAAAATTTAAGTTTGTATAAAAATACTCTTAAATCAAAAATACTTTTTCGTTAAAAAAAAAAATGCTAGTTAATAAAAATACTTTGTTATAAAGAAAAATATACATGTCCAAAAAAATTATAATTAAAAATATTATAAAGTCAAAAATACTTTGCAAAAAATGTGTTTTGTGCTCAAAAATACTTTTAATACAAAATCATTTTTATGTTCAAATTAAATTCTATTTGCAAATACTTTTTACTGCAAAATGAGTTTTACTCAAAAAATACCATTAGCAGGAATATACTTTTTACAGGAATATACTTTTTACTCAAAAATACCTTTTACTCGAAAATACTTTTTACCGAAAAATACTATTTATTCGAAAATACCTTTTACTAGAAAATACTTTTTACCAAAAAAATACTCTTTACTCAAAAACAAATTTTACTCGAAAATACTTTTTACCAAAAAAATACTATTTATTCGAAAATACCTTTTACTAAAAAATACTTTTTACCAAAAATACTCTTTACTCAAAGATACCTTTTACTCGAAAATACTTTTTACCGAAAAATATTATTTATTCAAAAATACCTTTTACTAGAAAATACTTTTTACCAAAAAAATACTCTTTACTCAAAAACACATTTTACTCGAAAATACTTTTTACCAAAAAATACTATTTATTCGAAAATACCATTTACTAAAAAATACTTTTTACCAAAAATACTCTTTACTCAAAGAAACCTTTTACTCGAAAATACTTTTTACCGAAAAATATTATTTATTCAAAAATACCTTTTATTAGAAAATACTTTTTACCAAAAATACTCTTTACTCAAAAATACCTTTTAGTCAAAAATACTTTTTACTCGAAAATTCTTTTTACTTAAAACTACTTTTAACTTTAAAATACTTTTTACTCAAAGTAATTAACAAAAGAATACTGTATGTGCAAAAATACCTTTGTCAACTATTTATTACCTTATACTTAAAAATACTATTGATAAAAAATATTTTCTCCTAAAGAATAATTTCTACTCAAAAGTACTTGACACAGATCATTTTTGTTTGCCTAAAAACGTCAAATATTGAACACGCTTTTTAGACCATTACTTTCATTTCCAGTTAAGCTAATTGACATTTAGAAAATTGAAATTTTATACAAGAATTCACGATTAAATCGTTCAAGTGTAAAATTTCTTCTTAACTTTTCAATTGTTGAACTAATAATATTCTTTTGTCTTCTTGCATCACAGGATCTTGCGAAAGTAGAAAACGAGTTGAATTATTTGTCATTTTGCATTTTGTTGCCAAAAAAAACTAAATATTACAAAAATAAATAAATTTTTGGAAATAAATTTTTTGTAAAAAGTATTTTTTTAAGTAAAAATTGTTTTTGGTAAAAAGTATTCTTTGTAGAAAGTATTTTTGTAAAAAATATTTCTTGGTAAAAAGTATTCTTTTAGTAAAAAGTATGTTTGGTATAAAGTATTTTTGGTAAAAAGTATTTTTTTCGTAGAAAATCTGTTTTACAAAAAGTATTTTTGTAAAGAAGTATTTTTTTGTGAAAATTATGTTTTTATTAAAAAATATGTTTGGTGAAAAGTATTTTTTTGTAAAAAATATTTTTGAGTGAAAGGTAAATACCTTAAAAGTATTTGTCCTACAAAATACTAAAATACTTTTTTCACTTTTTTTTTTACTAAAAATACGTTTGCTAAAAAATTGTTTATTTAAAAATATTGTTACCTAAAAAATAGTTTTTCTAAAAATACTTTAATTAAAAAAAATTTGTCAAAAAATACTTTTATAAAAAAATTATTGCCACTAAGAATACTTTTACTAAATAAATTGTAAAAATATTTCTTCTTGAAAAAATGTTTTAACTAAAAATAAAAATACTTTTACTAAAAACCAGTTTTTCAAAAAAAATACCTACTTTTACTAAAAAAAAATTTTCACAAAAAATACTTTTGCTAAAAAATTATTTAATTAAAAATATTTTAACTTAAAAAACTGTTTTTCTAAAAATACTTTTACTAAAACACAGTTCTTCAAAAATACTGTCACTAAAAAGTATTAATAATAATAATACTTTCACTAAAAAAAATATTGTTACTAATAATACTTTTACTAAAATACATTTTATTAAAAATATTTTTATTTTAATAATTTTACATTCAAAAAATACTTCATTAAATAAAATTTGTCACTAAAAATACTTTTTGCACTAAAAAAAAAAAAAATTCAAATCAAAAAGTATTTTTGATTAAAAAAGTAATTTTCAGAAAAAAAATTATATTAAAAATACGAAAAAAAAATTAATAATAATTTTTGCCAAAAAAAGTAAAATCTTACCTTAACATTAAAAAAGAAATCATTTACTTCCTCGAGACAGCAAAAAAAAAAAAATTTGTTTGCAGTTAGCCAATAATTAAGAAGTTTGATTAAATAATAGGATGCATTCAAATCTTGGGAAATGATTAGATAATCCAGTGGAAATGCTGAGATCAAATATTTTTCCTGTTATTATTGTTTTTGCATAATAATGCACCAACGAAAAATCCATATTCGCGAACTACTCTTAAAAACCCCTTCCCCCCACCCTTTTCAAAAATTATTTATCATTTTCTTTCTTCCTCCAAAAAATCTTCTTTTCCCCCTCTTCGTAAAAAATATAAATTAACACTTATTTAAACTGTTTATATTTTCTCCATTTTCCTCCATTTTTTAAATTATAGTATTTTTTTTATTTAAACACTTTCACTTTTTAAATATTTTTTTTAATCACTATTTTTTCCTTTTTTTTATTGTTTTTAACTATTTGGAGTATTTTTTATCATTATTTTTAATTATCCGGAGTATTTTTTTAAAGAAAACTTTTTAACTTTTTTTTCACTTGTTATTTTTTTTCTATTTACTATTTTCGTTGATATTTTTTTTTGTTAACGCAAAAAAAATTTTTGGTTGTGAAAAAAAATATGTAAATTTTTTTTTAGTCACGAAAAGTAAAAATTTATTTTTATACAAATTTTTTTTTTTTTTTTTGAAACTATTTTGTATTTTTTATTTTATATTTTTGTTATTTTTCTTTGTTTTTATTATTGTTGTTAAAGAATTTTTTTTTTGAAAAAAAGTTCACACGTGTTGAAATTGTTATTAAATGAAGCGAGCGTAGATTTATCTCGACGTATTCTCATTTGGCACTGAGAGAATTTTGCGTGTGACTTGACATTTATACTAAGCAAATCGCGAGTGCCGCTCGGGCTTTGATTTTAATGAAGAGAAAAAGAGACAGAGAGAGAATAAGAATCAGGAGAGGGAGAGAAAACAATCACGAAAAAAGTATTTTCAAAAAAATTTTTTAAAAATAATATAATAATAATAATAATAATAATAATAAAAATAATAGAAATAATAGAAATTTTTTAATAATAATGGATTTTTGAAGAGAAGTATTTTTAAGTGTAAATTATTTTCGAAAAATAGTATTTTTGAGTAGAAAGTATTTTTGAGGCTAAAATATTTTCGTGAAAATAGTATTATTTTCGAAAAATAGTATTTTTGAGACTAAACTATTTTCACAACTATTTTCGTGAAAATAGTATTATTTTCGAAAAATAGTATTTTTGAGAAGAAAGTATTTTTGAGACTAAACTATTTCCACAACTATTTTCGTGAAAATAGTATTATTTTCGAAAAATAGTATTTTTGAGAAGAAAGTATTTTTTAGACTAAAATATTTTCTTGAAAATAGTTTTATCTTCGAAAAATAGTATTTTTGAGTAGAAAGTATTTTTGAGACTAAAATATTTTCGTGAAAATAGTATTATTTTCGAAAAATAGTATTTTTGAGACTAAACTATTTTCACAACTATTTTCGTGAAAATAGTATTATTTTCGAAAAATAGTATTTTTGAGAAGAAAGTATTTTTGAGACTAAACTATTTCCACAACTATTTTCGTGAAAATAGTATTATTTTCGAAAAATAGTATTTTTGAGAAGAAAGTATTTTTTAGACTAAAATATTTTCTTGAAAATAGTTTTATCTTCGAAAAATAGTATTTTTGAGTAGAAAGTATTTTTGAGACTAAAATATTTTCGTGAAAATAGTATTATTTTCGAAAAATAGTATTTTTGAGACTAAACTATTTTCACAACTATTTTCGTGAAAATAGTATTATTTTCGAAAAATAGTATTTTTGAGTAGAAAGTATTTTTTAGACTAAAATATTTTCTTGAAAATAGTTTTATCTTCGAAAAATTAGTATTTTTGAGTAGAAAGTATTTTTGAGACTAAAATATTTTCGTAAAAATAGTATTTATAGTGAAAGAATTTTTTTTACAAAAGTATTTTTTTGTAGAATGTATTTTTAAGAGTAAAAATTTTTTGGAAAATAATATATTCAAGTAAAAAGTATTTTTTAAAGTGAAATAATTTTAAATTAATATTTTTTTGAGAATAAAAAATTCCCCAAAATTGTTGTATAAAAAGTATTTTAGAGGGAAGAATTTTTGAAAAAAACTTATTTTTGTATGAAAAGTTTTTTTTTAGAATGAAAATATTTTCTAGTAAGTAAACAAAAATGCTTTTGTAATAGAAAGTTGTGTTTAAAGATATAATTATTCGAAAATAAAGAGAGTAACTTTTGGAAAAAAATATTTTTGAGTAGAAAATATTTTTGAGAAAATAGTATTTCTTAGTAAAAAATATTTTTGAGTAAAAAGTATTTTTTTAATAAATAGTATTCTTAAGTGAAAAGAATATTCTCATAAATCGTATTTTTGAGTAAAAAATATTTTCAAGTAAAGGTATTTTTGATTAAAAAGTATTTTTGAGTAAGGAGTATTTTTAAGTAGTATTATATAGTATTTATGAATAAATAGTATTTCCCAGTAAAAAAAATATTTTGAGGAAAACGTGTTTTTCAGAACAAAGTATTTTTGAGTAAACAGTATTTCTTAGTAGAAAGTATTTTTGAGTATATAGTATTTTTCAGTAAAAACTATTTTTAAGTAAATAGTATTTTTCCGAATAAAGTATTTTTGAGTAAATAGTATTTCTTATCAAAATGTATTTTTGAGTATAAAGTATTTTTCAGTAAATAGTATTTTTAGGTAAAAAGTATTTTTGAGTAAAGGGTATTTTTAAGTAATGAATGTTTTCCAGTAAAAAGTATGTTCGACTAAAAATACTTTTGATTAACAAGTATTTTTGAGTAAGAAGTATTATTGAGTAGTATTACATAGTATTTCTTAGTAAAAAGTATTTTTGAGTAAATAGTATTTTCCAAAATTTAGTATTTTTAAGTAAATAGTATTTCTTAGTAAAGAAAATATTTTTGTGAAAAAAGTATTTTTCAGAACAAAGTATTTTTGAGTAAACAGTATTTTTTAGTAAAAAGTATTTTTGAGTAAATAGTATTTTTCATTGAAAAGTATTTTGCAGTAAAATATATTACTAGTGATATGTATTTTTTATTGATAATTATATACTTTTCGTAAAAAGTTTTTTTTATTGAAAAGTATTTGACAGTTAATTGCACTTTTCTTGCTTTTAAGTAAAAATTCTTATTTTTTGAATAAAAAGTATTTTTTTTTATTTTAAAAAATTTTATTTTATTTTACTAAAAATTATTCTTTTCCTGTAAATAAAAATTCGTTCCTTCTTTGTCTCTATCTTTCTCAATTATAAAAATTACGTTATACAATAAAAATAATATTCTCTATAATTATTAAGTTAATTAAAAATATATATGTATTTAAAAAAAATTATTCACTTCCAATTTTGTGATTTTCTTTCATGACGAAAATTTTTTCATCATGACGAAATAATTCCAAAAATAAAATTTGAAGAAAAAAAATGTAATATTCTATGAAATAATTTTTATTTTATATTAAATAAAAGTGACACATTTTGATTTTACATTAGTATATAGAGAGAAAAAAAAGGAGAAAAAAAGGAATTAGACATTAAAACACGTGTTAGTTGTTATTCCCTTAATAAGATTTAATTATTTCTAATTAGAAGGAGGTCGAAGAATTATCGAGTTCCAATCATTATTTTCTATATTTTCACATATACAATAAAATACTATTTTACGTTTCAAAAAAATAATTAAATTCATTTTTTTTAATTAAATGAGCCAATCATTAAAACGCGAAAAAATTTACTTGTCATTCGTTAATATCTAAAAATATAAAAATTTCAATAAAAACTGTTGTCCTCGAATATTAAATCTTAAAATAGAATTATTATAAATACTAATTAAAAGAAAAATTTAAATATTCTTCGATTTTTACTGCAGAAATTCAATTTTCGAAAATATTTTTATTGAAAAATACTTCTAAAAAAACTTAATACAAAAATACTTTTACTAAATGAATTTATTTACTTATACTTTTTTTAATTGAATACTTTTACTTTAAAAAATATTTTTTACTAAAAATACTTTTACTTAAAAAAATGCTTCACTAAAAATACTTTCAGAAAAAGTTATACCAAAAAAAGTTTTAGACAAAAACATTTTCTTTTCCCAAAAATTATTTTACTAAAAGTATGTTTACTAAAAAATAATTTTACTAACAAATACTTCTACAAAAAAAAATACTTTTATTAAAAAACTTTTCAATAAAAAACAAGTTTTTAAGAAAATACTTTTACAACAAAAGTTTTTAACTTAAAATACTTTTACTAAAAAATACTTTTATTAAAAAATACTTTTACTAAAAATACTTTTACTAAAAAATTAATTTTAGTAACAAATACTTTTACTATCAAATACTGATACTAAAAAATATTTTTATTAAAAAAAATTATACTTTCAAATTTTTTTTACTAAAATACTTTTAGTAAAAATTCTTTAACTAAAATACTTTTGGTAAAAATATTTTTGATAAAAATACTTTTATTATAAATACTTTTACTAGAAAATTTTTTAAATAAAAATAATTTTACAAAGAATTCTTTTACTAAAAAATACTTTTAATAAAAAAATTATTTTACTCAAAATACTTTTTATTTGGAAAATTTTTTTACTGAAAATACTTTTGCTGAGAAAATTCTTTTAACTAATAAATACTTTTACTAAAAAATATTCTAGTCCTAAAAATACTTTTAACTAATAGAGTTTAATAATTATTCTTTGTAATATAAAGTTTACACATTTCACCTTGTTTTTTTCTTTTCCTCTTAAAACTTGACATACTGAAAACAATGGCATTTTTAAATGACAATAAAAATGTAGGAAAATTTATGTATCAATTTATGTGGGTTTACTATCAATGAAGGAAGTTTAATTATATTATTACTAATTTGCTGATTTTTGGCGTGATTTACCTTTTCAAATCAAAACAGAGTATTATTTTCTTTCCTTTGAATTTTTTTTTCGCTAACTGAATAGATAAAAAATATTTATAAAGGAAATTTAAAGTAAAAAAAAATATATTTTTAACTTTTATTGTAGTGGAAAGTGTATTTTTAATCGAAAGGCATTTTTCTCATTAAAATGCATTCTATCTAAAATGTATTTTTGAAAAAGTATTTTTGAGTAAAAAGTAGTTTGATTAGAAAGCCTTTTATATAGAGATTGTCATTTAACTAAAAAGTATTTTCCAGTTAAAAGTAATTTTTAGTCAAAAGTATTTCTATGTCAATAGTATTTTTGAGTCTAAACTCTTTTTTAGTCAAAAGTATTTTTGAGTAGAGTATTGTGAAGACTGTATCTTAACTAAAAATATTTTTGATTAAAAATTATTCTTAAGTGTATTTGAGAAAAAGGTATTT